GACAAAGCCAAGGGGCCGTGACACCGCAACCGGGGTGGAGAAAGCACCGGGGGAGCGACAATTCCAGAGGGGAGAGGGGCCGTGGATTTCCCTTTGGGAATGGGAATGCCGGCGTCTCATCCCCCCAGGATGGGATTGGGGCTGAACCGCTCCCAAATCCCGGGGCTCAATCCCGCTTTTCCCACGGGGCTGGATCCCAGAGTCCAATTTTGCGACACAAATGAGACCCTGAATTCCAAACCTTGGGGAAAAACAGGGAATTCCGGTGCCAGGAGGAAAAGCTCCCTCCAGGCTCTCGCTCTGCCTGGGCCACCAAGCGCCAAAATTCCCTTTTTTCCCCAAATTCCCTGGGATTTGCCGTGCCAGGAGCGGGCAATGCCCTCCCTGCAGCTCCTGGAGATCCCAGCGCTGTTCCGTTCCAGCTGGAGAGAGCAGCAGAGTCCCGGAGGTTGCGCCCGGAGCAGCATTCCCGGGATATTCCCGGGATATTCCCGGGATATTCCCCATTCCCAGGGAACCTGGGGGAGCTCTGCCTTCCCAGGGCATCCCAAAAGAAGCGCTGGATCTCTCCCTGCACACAAAAACTCCCGCTGGGAATTTCCCTTCCCTGTTTTCCACAGCTGCACCCCCTCGGCCGCGCAGACAGATCGGATTCCCCGAGAAAATTCCAGAGGCGCTTCCAGGTAATATTCCTTTTTAATTCCTTTTTTTTTTTTTTTTTTTTTTTCCCAAAATCCTTTCTAAAATCATCATTTATTTCTCTGAGGCTTCCTCATATCCTTTCCCCTTTTTTTTTTTTCCAAACCCCAATTCCCCTTTTCCTTATCCAGGCAAAACATTCCCGAAGGGCAAACCGGGAAAAACTTGGAAGGCAGAGGTGGAATTTTCAATGTTGGTGTCTCACTCCATGACTTTTTTTTTTTTTTTACTTCATCTTGTATGTAATTTCAAAAATATAATTAAAAAAAAACCCAACCTAATTCATCCAAATATCTTTCATTTCCCAGCCAGGATTTCCTGATAACGATCCATTAGGAATGTTGATCCCGTTTTTTCGCTTTGATTGTGGGGTTTATTTCCATTAATTAATATTAATTAACGGTTTCCGAGCTGATTTAATTATAGGGATGCACCACAAGCTCCTTTCCCGCTCTCATCCACCTGCAGAGGTGGGGCAGAATCCAGGGAATTTTACATTCCAGGGGAATCCCAGCTCCAGCCCCTTTGGATTTGAACCTCTGCCCCTTCCAGGCTGATAACGAGGAGCAGGGAAAACCCATCCCAACCCTGACATGAAAATCAGGGAATTCCAGATTGGAAGTGACCTGAAACATCCCATTCCCATCCCGTGCCCTGGGCGGGGACAACTTCCACAATCCCAGGGATGTATATCCAAAAATATTTCATTTTTTAACTCCTCCTCCAATTTTATTGAATTTTTGCTCCCAAATCTCCAACTGGATTTTTTTTTTTCATGCAAACCTTCAACTTGGAATTTTTGCATCCAGACTTTCAGCCTGTTTTTTTTTTTTTTTTTTTTTTTCAGCCAAACTTCCAGCTGGAATTTTTTTTGCACCCAAGCCCCCCATTGGAATTCTTTGCAGCCAAATTCCAACTTCTCCCCCTTACCTCCCCCAAACTTCCCAATCAATTTTTGCTCCTTCCTCAATTTTGCTCTTTCCCCCCCAAAAACTCTGCTGGGGTTTTGGGAGCCGCTTCTCCCGCTGGAAGCGGAATTCCACCATTCCCGCAGCTGGGAATAGGCCTTCGCTCCTCGTTTGGGACTTTGCTTCCTGAAATATTTTTCAAACCGGGCGCCTTTCCACCCCTGCACCGAAATTTGGGAATTGTCATCACCGCTTTTCCCACCCTCTGGATGAACAAACAACCACCACCCCCTTGGGAAATCCCGTGGGAAGCGGCGTGGATATTCCAGGATTTCGGGCGCGATCGGATGCGGCAGCATCCCAATCCCCAAACCCCCAATGGGGAAAAATCCCCGGGAAGAAAATCCGGATTCTTTTCGCCACTCACCCAACCTCCAAGTCCAAGTTGGCCCCGGCGGCCGCTTCCCACTCCCGGGAAAAGCCGGAGCGATTTATAGCGTGGGAGCCGCGCTGGTCCCCGCCCCCAGCGGGGAAAGCGCCGCTGGAAAATGAGGATTCCCAAGGATTTGGGGATGATGACAACGTCAAGCTTCCCTCCCCGAGACTCCGGCATTGGCTCCATCACCCCGCTCCCAAAATAAAATCCCGCTTTTGAAATTCCAAGAGATTCTCCCCCACTCCTACCCCTCCTGAGGGTTTTCCTTCTTTTTTCCATTTTTCTCCCTCTTCTCCTTCTTTTTTTTTTTTTCCCCTCTTATTTTCATTCTTTTTTCCCCTCTTTTCCTTCTTTTTCCCTTTCTTGTCTTTTTAAAAAATTATTTTCCCCTTTCCCCTCCCTAATTTTTGTCCCTTCTTTTCTTTATTCTCCTTAATCCCCTTTTTCTTTCTTCTTTTTCCCTCTCACTTTGTCCCTTCTTTTCCTTCTTCTTTTCCCCTTTATCTATTTTTCTTTTTTCCTTATTTCCCCTCCTTCTCCCCTTCATTTTCTCCCTTCCTTTTATTCTTCTTTTTCTCCCTCATCACCTTTTTTCTTATTTCCCCCCTCATTTCTCCCTTCTTTTCATTCTTCTTTCTATCCTTTATCTTCTTTTCCCCCTTCATTATTTGATCATTTCCCCCTACTTTCTTCTCCTTTCCCCCCTCGTTTTTCTTTTTATTTTCCCCTATTTTCTCTCATTTTCCCCACTCTATTTTTCCCTTTTTTCTCCTCTTTTTTTTCCCCTTTTACCCTCTTCTTTTCCCCCTTTTCCCACACATTTTTACCTTTTTTTTTTCCTTTTTCTTTGCCCCCTTTTTTTCCTTTTTTTTTTTTTTTTTTTTTTTTTTTTTTTTTTTCTTTTTTTTTTTTTTTTTTTTTTTTTTTTTTTTTTGTTTTCTGAAAAGCCTCCGAAACCCAAATGTTTCTGCCTGGAGTTTATCAAATTACATTTGGGGACAAAGAGCTAAAGTGCATTTTCTTGAGGGCTTTGACAATTGGGGGAGCCAGCAAGGAAATGAAAAGAATGACAGAAAACCAAAGGCTTTTGTCGGATGCAGATCGGGAAAAGCCGCCCTTGGGGGGCCTTTCTTTCCCTTTTCCTTGGATTTCCTTCCCACTTTCTTTTCCCAGGTGTTAAACTCGGGGCTGTGGGGAAAAGCACGGAAAATCCCTTTGGATTGCGGGGCTGCGTGGGGGTTGGAATGACTGAATTCAGGTTTTTTCCTCGTTTTTTTGTTTTGTTTTTCTTCTTCTTTTTTTTTTTTTTTTTTTTTTTTTTGATTTTTTTTTTTTTTTTTTTTTTTTAACAAAATGCCAGTGTTTCAAAGGAAAATGAAGCCCCTTTGGAAATGTGAAGCTCCGAGATAATGACCGGATCGCTCCAGGACTGGATGGGAACAGGTGATGCTTTTTTCCTTCCTTTCTTGTTCCCATCTGTCCTTTGTTCCACGGGAGACCGAGGAGAGACAGAAACGAGATCATTTTGATATTCCCCCTTTTTGTGCATCCGACTTTTCCCGAGGAGCGCGGACGCGCCTTGGGCCCGCTCCAGGCGCCGCCGGAGCGGGGATGCGGAAAAACCCCGCTAAAATCCCGCTAAAATCCCACCAAAAACCCAAAACTCAACTTTTGATCTCTTGAAAATCCCAAAGTGGCCGGGCTGGGGCTGCTCCGACCCCAGCTCCGGATGGGCCCCCAGGAAGATGCTCCAGGGACAGCCCGACCCAAATCCAAAGAAATCCCTCGAAAAATGGGATTTTCTGCTGGGTTTCAGTGGAATTTTACTCCAGGGGGTTTAATTCCAGTTTGGGACTTCACCATAAATGGAGCCCAACCCGATTTATCCCCATTCCCAATCCCTTCTCCTGCAATTTGTGGCCGCTTCAGCCTCTTTCCTCCCCAAATTCCTTCAATTCCTCCTCCAAACCCAATCCCAAGGCAACAATCCCCTCGGAGAATCCCAAATCCCAAATTCCCGGCAGAAATCCCCGTGGGGGCTGCACAGGGAAAGACTTGAGCTTCTGTTCCCATTTTTTTCCCCCCAGTTAGGAGAATTTGGGCAGGATTTTCCCTCACTTCTGTGTTGGATTAGCAATGATGGAATTGGGAATATTTCCTGCAAATAATCCCAGGTATCCAGAGTTTTTCCTTAAGGTCTCTTAGTTTGGAAGTCTCCTCAGGAAGAAGAGATCCTTTTCCTGAGTATCCCATTTTAAAATTTTTTAAGTTATTTATTTAGTTCAGATCATTTATTTGATCTCCCTTTCTCTGCCAAATATTCCCCCCCCAAAAAATCTCCTTTAAGTCCCAACCTGCCACCACTACCCGGGATTTATCCTGGATTTCCAAACAATCTTCCTTCTTTTTTTTAAATCTGCTACCAGCAAAGTCATCCTCCCAAATTTCAGCCCTTTTCCCAACCCATCCAGCTTTTCCCTGGCCTGGATCTCCCGACAATTCCCAAGAACAGGTGAGGTGTGAGGGGTTTGTGCATCCTTGTGAGATTCCAGCCTCCACTCTTCTCCAGGCCATGGAGAAAATTCCAAAGGCACAACGAGAACCACTTTTCCCTGCTCCGGAAAGAAAAGAAATCCTCGGGAACTTTCAGCCTTCAATCCCAACACAAAATTCCAGGGAATGCAAGATGGGGAAATCCATCCCCAAATATCCACGTATATTTTTTTAAAAATGGGATTTTGGACTTGTGGTTAAAACATTATTTATATCCCAAATATTTGAATATAAAAGCCGGATGAGGAGGCAACTCCAAGGACCTACAGAATGGGAATATCCCAGTGTTTGTTCTCTCCAAATCCAGGATTTTCTCCCTGAGAAGATGGCTGGGATTTATCCCATTATCCTGAATTTCCCTCCTTCTCCCTGTGCTGGAGATTTCCACCTCTCTGCTCCCATCCCTCTTCCCAACTCATCCCAAAATCCTTGGAAAAAGAGGTTTTAAATCCCAGGATAATTAGTGGAGCAGGGATTCAAGGCTGGAGCCGAGCCTGTTTCTCCTGCCCGTGGCTCCGCTCTCATCCCTGAATCCCAAGAGTTTTCCGTGCTGAACACATTTGGAAAACAGGGAAAAGGGACGAGGAAAGAAAGGAAAGAAGCCAAGCCCCAAATGCCAACCTCATCCAGAGGAAATTCCAGGTGGGATTTGCTGCCAAAGCAAAGGGCTGGGTGCCCTTGAACACCAGCCCAGGGTTCCTCTTTCCTGAAGAACTCCCAAAATTCCACTTTTCCTTTGGGATCTTTTTAAAATTCCCTTTTTTTTTTGGCTCAAACAGTCAAAATTTTGGGCCCATCCTGGGTGAGGGACCCCCCACCCACACCACGGAGCCTTAAAAACAGGGAAAACCTCTGGAAGGAGGCCCTGGAGCAAGGATACCCCTCTTAGGACAAGAGGTGGCCCAGAAAAGTGGGATTGGGAAGGAATGGGAGCCTGATCCATGTGGAATAAGTGGGAGTTTTATCAAATCAAGAAGGGATTTTTTCTCCATTCCCAGAAAAAAGTGGGGGAAGTTTGTGAGTGAGGAAGGAATTGGGGAAGAGGAAGAAAAAAGAGTTTTCCAGATCAGATTTTTCCCGGTTTGGGGAAGTTTTGGGGAGTTTTTCACTTCCCTTAAGGATGCGGAATGAAGCTGAAAGCACCACGGCTCCGTTCCTTCCCGAAATCCTTCATCCCCTTTCCAACAGAACCACTCTGGATCTTCCAAACCACTGATGGGGCCTTGTGGATCCAAGGAAACACGACGGCCCCATGGAAATCCGTGGAATAAATTGGGATATCGCTCCTGGCTGATGCTGGCTCCGAGTGTTGCTCCACATCCCCAAATACACCGGAAAGGTTTCTCCAGGTCATCCTTAGGATCACCAAATTCCAGGGAGGTTTTCCCATTCCTCTCACAGAGTTTAGTTTTCCTTTCAGGAAAACTCACAGAAACTTCCCTTACTTTTTGGAAAACTCAGAAGTTTCCATTCTGTTTAGGAAAACTCACAGAAGCTTCCTTTCTTTTAAAGAAAAATCACAGAAACGTCATTTCTTCTTTGGAAAATTTCCTTAAAATCAAAATTGATCCATGCTCCCAGTTAAAACTCAGGAAAATAAATTCATATTTAGTTTGAGCCATTTTCAGGATTTTTACAAGGCAAAACCCATTATCCCGCATGGGATATCCCAGATTGAGGATGGGAAGAGGAACCAGGAGATTTTTAGGAGAAAATCCCCATTTTCCTGCTTGGAATATCCTGGATTGAGGACAGGAAGGGAAATTGGAAGTTTTTCTAGGAGGCAAACCCCATTTTCCTGCAAGGAATATCCTAGATTGAGAACAGGAAGGGAAATGTTTTGGGAATATCCCAAATTGAGGATGGGAAGGATTTTAAGGAATGAGTGGGGTGCTGGTGTGGGATAACCGAGGGTGTTGCCCCCTTTAAACATCCTCATCCCGAATAAATCCCCAAATGAGCCTCAGACACTCCAGATGAGACCTCAGGACGAATCCTTCGCCCAGAGATTTCCAGGGATCCGGGACCTGGGCAGGAAGTTGTTAACATTTGGGAATGGGGATGTACCTGCTCCTCCTCAACAAACCTCCCTGGCCAGAGCTCATTTGCATTCATTAGGAGCCCGGGGTGATTAGCAGAGCCCTGCCCGCTCCCATCCCCGAAAGGTTCCTCTCTCGGCTGGAGCTCCGGGATTGAGGCTGATCGGGTGACAGAGCAAAGAATTCGCTCTGAAAGAAGATTCATCCCCAGGGTCCGGCGCGGAGGCCTCGGAAGAGGCGGCTCCGCGCGGATTTGGGAGGCTCCGCCGCACCGGGACGTGCCCAGGTTCTCCCAGTTCCTGCTGCTGCCCGTGGAGCGGGAGATGGGGATGATTCCTGGGATGATCGGGAATTTCATCCTCCCTGTTGTGTCCTTCCTGCTTTGGTGTGGGAAACGGGGCCTCGATGTCAGGTGTCTGCTCCCCGAGGCCATCCCCATTACTGTGAAGCTGTTCCCGACTCCATCCCTGTGGCCCTGAGGCCATTCCAATCTTCTTGAGACCATTCCCATCTCCCTGAGGCCATCCCTGTCCCCCGAGGTCATCCCCATCTCCTCGAAGCCATTCCTATATCCCTGAGGACATTCCCATCTCCTTGAGTCCATCCCCGTCTCCTTGAGTCCATTCCCATCTCCCTGAAGCCATCCCCATTTCCTTGAGGCCATTCCCATCCCCCTGAAGCCATTCCCATCTCCCCAAAGCCATTCCCATCCCCTCGAGGCATTCCCATCTCCCTGAAGCCATCCCCATTTCCTTGAGGCCATTCCCATCCCCCTGAAGCCATTCCCATCTCCCCAAAGCCATTCCCATCTCCCTGAAGCCATTCCCATCTCCCCAAAGCCATTCCCATTTCCTTGATGCCATTCCCATCCCCCTGAAGCCATTCCCATCTCCCCAAAGCCATTCCCATCTCCCTGAAGCCATTCCCATTTCTTTGAGGCCATTCCCATCTCCCTGAAGCCATTCCCGTCCCCCCGAAGCCATTCCTGTCCCCTTGAAGCCATTCCCATTTCCTTGATGCCATTCCCATCCCCTCGAGGCCATTCCCATCCCCTCGAGGCCATTCCCATCTCCCCAAAACCATTTCCATCTCCCCAAAACCATTCCCATCTCCCCAAAGCCATTCCCATCCCCCTGAAGCCATTCCCATTTCTTTGAGGCCATTCCCATCTCCCTGAAGCCATTCCCGTCCCCCTGAAGCCATTCCCATCTCCCTGAAGCCATTCCCGTCCCCCTGAAGCCATTCCCGTCCCCCTGAAGCCATTCCCATCTCCCTGAAGCCATTCCCATTTCCTTGAGGCCATTCCCGTCCCCCCAAAGCCATTCCCATCTCCCCGAAGCCATTCCCATCTCCCCGAAGCCATTCCCATCCCCCTGAAGCCATTCCCGTCCCCCTGAAGCCATTCCCGTCCCCCCAAAGCCATTCCCGTCCCCCTGAGGGCCTCCAGGAGGGCCAAGATGCTTTCCCAGATCCGGGATCAGGGATGGGAATTGCCGCCGGCGCTCCCCGCTCGGACTCAGCTCCGGGATACTCACAAAGCACACCGGCCCAGCGATGGGGGATTTAAAACCAGGTCCTGATCCCAAATTTCCAGATCCCAGCGTGGGTGTGGTGGGACCGAGGCTGGACCCACGGACACTTCATCCCCTGGGATGAAGTTGGGAATTGTCAGCAGAACTCCCCGCTCGGGCTCAGCGCCGGGATGCTCACAAACCCAGAGACGACGGGCTGGCACTTCCAGGGATGGATCCCAAAGCTCCGAGCTGCCGTAAAATCCCCGGGATGTCCCTGTCCCATTCCATTGTCCACCTCTGGCACGAGACGGTTCTCATTAAGGCCCACAATTGATCTCCTGGCTTTGAAGGAGACAAGAAAGGAGGAACAAATCCAACGGGATCCTCCTTCCTCCGGCCCAGGGGAACAAATCTGGCTTTAATTTCTTTTCCTTTTGTCATTCCAGTCAGGATTTCACTTTAACGACGCTGCCATCCCCATCCCTCTCCTTCTGCTCCTCAAGAAACAGGGAAGTCTCCCCTCTGCTTCCCATGTTCCCTCCCTTTGTTCTCCACGCTTGATTTATGAAAGGACTTTTCCCTCCCCAAATCCTTCATTTTGGGAGTCAAGGACCCCCAAAATCGGTGGTTCCCACCCCGGAGTTCAGAAGAGCCACGCTGGGACTCGCTCAGATGTTCCTGCCTGGCTCTAAATATTCCAGCTCAGCTGGGAAGGTGCCGGAGGACCACACCTTCGGAGCCATCCTTTGGGAAGGAACCGCGGATGGACGCTCCGGGATGGTTTTGATTCCAGCTCTTCCTGCAGAAAATCCACTCCAGCCCAGGAATAATTCCCACCCAAACAGGTAAGGATAGGGATCCAGCGGGACTGATTTCTCCAGGATTGATTAAATCCTGCAGGGAAGCTCTGTGGAAAACCTGGGAGAGACGACCGAAGTCACCTCCTTTCCCTGACCTCACTGGCACAAATCCTGGTGGTGCCCACGGAGAAGCTGCTGGAAAAATGGCAAGGATTTAGGGATTAAGGTGGGAAAAGGCATGGAGCATAATGGTCTTTGAATCAGCAAAGAGACCAAACTCAAGGTCTTTTAAGCAGAAAATGTTTTTTTTTTTTATTTTTTCACTTGGCACAGGCATCAAAAAGTTATTAAAAGGGCCTGGTTAAATATCTCATTAATGAAGATGAACGAGGCCCCAGATTTGTTTTTAAGCACTTCAAAGCCGGTTTTTTTCTGACCTCCCAAAGTGTGAGTGTGTAGGGGGATCTCAGTGCCTTCAAATGTTCCTTTTTTCTGGAATTTTACAGCAGCTTTAACCGATTTCAGCGCTGGAGCTGCTGCTGCTGCTCACCCTGGGAGGGAGAGCTCGGGTTGGGACATGAGGAAAATCCGTTTGGTGGTGCAGGAACATCCCAGGGATCTGAGGGGCTGCCCTGCACATCCCGAGGCTCCATCCCACGGGAGATGGATTGAGCTGGGATGGAGCCGGCTCCTTCCTGCTGGGAGCACCTGGGAGAGCCTGGGAAGGAACGGCTCTGGGGGATGAGGGAGCTCAGCCCCCTAGAATTCCAGCTGGTCCTTCCCCACATGGAAAACTGGGACGGAAGCAAGTTATCCCACCATTCCATGATCCAGGAAATCCAGTCTGGGACAGACTTGCCATGGAATCATGGAATGGTTTGGGTGGGAAGGGATCTTAAAGGCCTGCCATGGCAGGGACAGCTCCCACTGTCCCAGGGTGCCTTGGGCACTGCCAGGGATCCAGGGGCAGCCCCAGCAAATCTGGGAATTCCAGACAAATTCCAGCCAGGAATTCCTTGCCAAGATCCCAGCCCAAGCTCCCCTTTCCCAGTGGGAGCCATTCCCTGGCTCCTGTCCCTCTGTCCCTTGTCCCCAGTCCCTCTCCAGCTCTCCTGGAGCCCCTCCAGGCCCTTCCAGGGGCTCTGAGCTCTGCCTGGAGCCTTCCATTATCCTGGGGAACATTCCCAGCTCTCCCAGAGCAGAGGAGCTCCAGAATCCTGGAATGGTTTGGGTGGGAAGGGACCTTAAATCCCATCCCTTTCCATGGGCAGGGGCAACTCCCACTGTCCCAGGTGGATCCAATCCCAGTGTCCAACCTGGCCTTGGGCACTCCAGGGATCCAGGGGCAGCCCCAGCAAATCTGGGAATTCCAGCCCAGCCCCTCCCCGCCCTGACAGGGAAGAATTCCTCCCCAGATCCAACGTAAGTCTCGGCAGTTCCCGTTTACCTCTCCTTGTCCTGGCACCAGGTCGAAGGGGGCGAGCTCTGAGCTCGCATTAACGTGGCCAAAACCTTGGGCTGCCCCTCAGATCCCCAACCCCAAACCAAAAGGATCCCGAGCCCCAGGTACAAAACACCCCAGAGCCTCGAGCCCAAATCAAAAAACACCCCAGAGTCTCGAGCCCAAATCTAAAAACATCCCAGAGTCCTGAGCCCAAATCAAAAAACACCCCAGAGCCTCGAGCCCAAATCAAAAAACATCCCAGAGTCCCGAGCCCAAATCAAAAAACATCCCAGAGTCCTGAGCCCCAGGTACGAAACATCCCAGAGCCTCGAGCCCAAATCAAAAAACACCCCAGAGTCCTGAGCCCCAGGTACGAAACATCCCAGAGCCTTGAGCCCAAATCAAAAAACACCCCAGAGTCCCGAGCCCAAATCAAAAAACATCCCAGAGTCCCGAGCCCCAAAATGAAAACCATCCCAGCTCCTGCCAAGG